TGCAGATTTCATTTGTGACAGGGTTGTATAATCCATATGCTCTTGTTGGATGGTATCCAACTAACACCATAACTCTGCTTTTATCTTCTAATTTTCTCCTTCTAGCATCTAGAACATGCTTGTAACACACAGACCCAAATACCCTTAAGTGATTCACTACTGGTTTTCTGTCAAACCAGATTTCTTCAGGAACTCTATTACCAAGTTGTTTTGTAAGACACTTATTCGGCACATAAACTGCAGTTGACATTGCCTCTCCCCGGAACATATGTGGAATCTTCTTCTCATTTAGCATGCTTCTAGCTATATCAAGAATGGTCTTATTTCTTCTTTCAACAAGACCATTATGTTGTGGTGTATATAAGGCTGTCACCTCATACTGGATACCACTTTCTCTACAATACTTCTCAAATTCCAGAAATGTATACTCACCCCTTCCATCTGTTCGAAGAATTTTTAGCACCTTTTCACTCTGTTTTTCAGCAAAGATTTTGTACCTTTTGAAAACTGAGAATACATCACTTTTGGCCTTGATTAGATACAACCATATCATCCTACTATACTCGTTTATAAATGAAACAAAATAACAATTTTGTCCCAATGACAACCTCAAATGGCCCGCAAACATATGAGTATACAACATGCAACAAGTCTTTTGCCGTTATGTGCATGTGTGAATTGAAATAAGTTCTGGACTGTTTCTCAATCAAACATCCCTCACACACCTTCTCTGGAATTGAGATAACTGGCAGTCCAGTAACCATTTCTTCAGTAGCTAACTTCTTCAAACTCTAAAAATTTAGGTGACCAAACCTCGCATATCATAGCCACGTTGTTTTGTATAGCAGTCAGACATTGATTCTCAATCTGATCAAACCTTGTCTGAAACATTCTGTTTTTGGACAAAAGGGCTTTTAGTATCAACTTCTCTTTGGAGTCATACACCTTCAAGAGTTCATCTTTCATATTTATAGAAAATCGCTTTTCCACTAACTGCCCCACACTAAGCAAATTACATTTCATGTCTGGAACATACAATATATTCTCAATAAAAACCACAATTTTACCTTCTTTCTTGATCCTTATTTTTGCAATGCCAACTGCTTCAATTGTATTATCATTTGCTACTCTCACTTTGCTCTTCTTGCTAGTGTTAAGACTTGTTACCCAACTTTTGTGTCCAATCATATGATTACTGCAACCAGTATCAAGAGACTAGCTTGCTGACCCAAACTCCTCATTTTGAGTAGTCACCATTAACAATATTGGTTTTTCCTCAGATTCTTCATGAGCTATATGTGCTTCCTGCTTAGCTTCTTTTTTTTGTTTTCCCTTTCCATGCCAGCAATCTGCAGCAAAGTGTCTTCACTTCTCACAATTATAAAATTGAATCTTCCTCAGATCTTGCACTTTCTTGCTACCTCTTCCTCTGCCATTAAAGCCTCATCTGATTTTCTGTGCAGTTTCTAATTTTTCGTCATTGTTATACTGATCTTGACTGATATTGATCTTAAAGTTCGTCAATTGTGATCTTATCAATATCTTTGGCATCTTCTATTGCTACCTCTAGATTGTCAAATTTATTGGACAATGTTCGCAGTGATCCGTAACATTCTCACCACACGCCCTCATCACATTCACCATCAATTGCAACCTGTTGTAGTACTTAGTCACCGTTTCTTGCTCCGTCATTAACAACAACTCATATTGCCTTCTAAGAGACTGAAGCTTAACTTTTTTGGTCTTTTTTGCACCTCTATAAGTTTCCGCAGAATGTACCAGGTCTCTTTTGTTGCATTGACTTTAGAAATTTTCTCAAAATTGAGCACGTTCACACATTGGTGAAGAAGACATCGAACTTTATAATCTTTCTTTGTTGTTGTGTCGTCCTTCTCACGAGCACCATTTCTGACCAACTTTAAGATTTCTTGGTAATCAAGAATGACCCCATCCGTATCACCCAATGATCATAGTTCTTGCCATCAAGAATTGGTAAGTTGGCCAGGAAAAATCCTCCTCCGCTTGCCATGACAACACTTCTCTTCTCAACACAGGTCCTGAACCTTACTGCTTTTGATATCACTGTTAGCTTAGACCACTTAATACATATAACAGGAATGCACACAACCTATATGATGAAATGTCTCAAAGAAATTAAATTATCACTCGCTATTTTGTATAGAAACAGAGGATTCTATTTATAGAGTCTGATACATGAAACTAGAAGTAACAAACTATAACAGAATACTACTTTTGAATTAGCTACATCAAATAACATAATTTAATATTGATATTCTTCTAATGTAATTTATTTAAAAATCATTTAATATCATTACAAAATATCCTTATCTTTATTATACTTTAATTTATATTTTAAAATTAGATATAATAAAGAAAGAATTAAATTAATCTTTTGAATTTATGTTTATTTTTCTACTTTAAAAATATTAAAGAAAGATTTAAGAAACTCTAACATTTTATTTTAATTTTTAATTTTTTGTACTATTTTGTATAAATTTATCAATTTTAATAAAATATAATATTTATATATATTTCCCTAGATTTTATATAAAAAGTATATAAATAATTTACTAAAATTATTTATAATAATGATTTTTTTATTAATATAAATATTGATATAAATAAATAAGAAAATTACACTTACATTATTATCTTTTAATATATATATATATATATATATATATATATATATATAACTTAATTTGTCTATAGATAGGCTTCATATATTATTAATATACCTACTTAATATTTTATTAAAAATTTACTTTTGAAATGAAATATTTTAGTAAAAATAATTTAGTGAATGAGGGTCCAATGGAAGAGTTAATGTTACAAAGGCAATTGGGGGGGGGGGAGGTCGATACTTTGTCTCCATTCTTGTTTTTGTTCACCATGGTGTGTGAAGGACTCTCAGACTTTATGCAGGTGGATCTAAATAAAGGCTTGTTCAAATCTTACTTCATGGGGACAAATTGGACGAAGTGTTTGATAAACTCGATGTTATCATCTATTCCCCCGTTTTATATGTTTTTTTTAAGGCACCAAAGGAGATTCTGCACAAATTGACTTGGAATTTCCTATGGGAAGGAAGTGAAAAGATAAGGATGGTAGCTTGGGTAATGTCTAAGGTCACAAGGAGGGTTAGGGGTGAAAGACAGAGATGTTTAATGTTGATTTGTTGGTAATATGGAGGTGAAACTTTTATTCATAAAAAGGAACCATACGGGAAAATGTATTAGAATCAAAGTAGGGTGGTTGGAGGGTTTTATTCAGTGTCCAAACAATGAAAAAGGAATGAGTGTGGTGGAGGAGATGATAGCTTAGCAAATGAATATCCTTGGCTACTTTTAAACTCTAGTCAAAAGGGGGGAGTATGTGAGGAATATGGGTGAATGGGTGGGTAATGTGTGAAGTTGGAAGTTTGATTGACCTAGAGAGTGATTTTTGTGTGGGAAGAGAATGTGCTACAAAACTTTACTTTAAAGATGGAGGAAACTATATTGAGGAATGATGTCCTAGACAAGTGGAAGTGGAAAGAAGATAATGGTATTGGGGAGGACTGCAAGACTAAAGAGAGTTGGAGCATTGTATGGAGTGTCATCACATGGACATTGGATTGAATGAATAGAGAAATCACTGTGTGCTAAGGAGTGAAGTGTGACTAGAAGAGAGTGTTGCAAGACGCTTTATTCCTTCCATGGTCGTCGTTGTCAAATTTTAACCTTCTTTTATTCATGGTTAGTTAATCCCATGACATGTTTGTGGACTCTGGTTTACATGTTGGAATCTTGGCATTTCCTTGCTGGTTTTCTCCAAAGTTCTTTGGGGCAATATATTTATGAGTGGGGTATATACTTGTGATTGGTTGACATGTCAAGGGTACTTGGATTTTGTAAACAGGGTCGTCAAGTTGATTGGTTACATTGCATTTATTGCAATTGATGAATAAATGCCATTCACTTGATAAGAAAGAACATCAAATCTAAGTTTTAATTGATTGTAGTAGAACATGCATTAGAAGACGGTGTCTTTCTTTGAATAAATCGTTGCAATCTTACTGTATGAATTTACCTGGATGGCATGAAATTGTTACAAAATAACATGCAAACAAAACGAAGGGGAAATTAAAAGAATACATTGGCAAACATAATAATTGTTGGATCTTGGATGATAGCATTAGGACAATAGGATGCAGCGAACGTAATATTTAAAGGTGTGTAAAGATAAGTTTGTTGAAAACATTTTTATATAATTTTTATTCATAAGTGAGTCATAATCTAAATATTAATTAGGGTTGGAACTGGGATGAAGAATTAACATTGTAGTTTGAAAGGAGAAGGTAATGATAATTTATAGAGACTTTTGAAGTCAAATCAATAATAATAGTAAGGACCAATGAAAAAACAAATAGTATCTAAAAAATATTGTAAATTTGTTCTCTTATTTATTATTTTAAAATTTATATAATATTTTTAAATATTTAAGTTAAAATATGCTATAAGAATGCAATAAATACCTACGAGAAGTTCTTTCCAGCACGCAATTACTATTAGATAGTTATGAATTGTGTTAATAAGAAACAAACTGTGGAAACATGGACAAAAAAAAGATAAGTGTGTAGTGGATGAAGTTCTATCATGAATTAATAGGAACACAAATACATGGGAAAGGGAAGAAAGAAAAGAGGAGTGGACCTGGCTGTAAATACCAAAAATAGAGCCCTTTTAACAAAAAAAGAAGCTTTTTGTAAGCAGGATAAAGCCACCAGCACTCTGCAAAGTGGGAAGCTAACAACCCAGTAGAAAAGAAAAAAAAAAAAAAAGGCACAGTTAAGTTTGTGCAAAGTGAAGAAACAAAACCAAACCAAACCAACCCTCAGACTCGCGAATTTCACTTTCCGCTTCATGTAGATTCTGCGTTCCCAACTCGTTTTCCCGATTCTACCTTCACTCGTCCGAGTTCAGCTCAAACTCCTGCTCATGGCGAATAACCCTTCAGACACTCCCGCCGACGATTTCCTTGAACAAATTCTCGGCCTCCAGACCTTCGCTTCCGGCGACTCAGGCCTCTCTGCCGCCGATGTTGGCCTCGCCGGTACTGCTTCTCCGGCTCCGATGATGCTGCAGCTCAACTCTGCCGACGCCAACGCTCACCTCACCGGCGCTGCCTTCCACGCGCCTGTGTATCAGTTAGGTCTTAGCTTGGACCAAGGCAAAGGAGGGTTCATGAAGCCCGAGGAAGCCTCCGCTAGCGGAAAGCGTTTTCGCGACGACGTCGTTGACGGTAGAGCTAAGAATGTAAACCTCCAGCTTTTTTTATTCTCCTCTTTTTGGATACGATTTTCAATAGTTTTGTGCTTTGCTTCAATTAATTGTTTCGGTCTAATATGAGAGTTTTTTTATATATGCTTAGAATTACTTCACTTTAATTGCCAAGTTCAATTACCACCATTGCATTTACATAAAGCAAAGCGAAACAGTTTAAAGGTTAATGAAAATAGTACCTAGCAGTGTAATGGTGATTTCCTTTCAAATTAAAGTATATAAAAGATGAGATCATTCGAGTTTCATGTTGACGGATTTGTTAGGTGGGTGGTTGTTGACGCTAGCCAACTTGGTATACAGACATCAATAACATGTCTCGTTGTAATTGCCCACGCTGTTGGGTCATATTGATAGATTTGTTAGGTTATCTATGCCTTTGCCTAGGCACTTATGGCGACCTTCTGTGATCTCTGAACCTCTTACATAATGTAGAATATTTATGCTTGACTTTGAGTAATCCTTGAATAATTGTTTTCTTGTGAGAATCTTGTCTTTCTTTTTCCTGTTCTTATTCTTACTGGACCAAGTAGCATTTGTTGTCGGTTGATAATTCATAGCCCTCTGGCAGGTTTTTCATGGGCAGCCCATGCCTACTACTATGCCGGCTGCTCCACATCCTCCAGTAATACGTCCTAGGGTGCGGGCCAGAAGAGGACAGGCTACAGATCCTCACAGCATAGCTGAACGGGTGAGCTTAAAGATAGTTGCTTGAATACTGACTGTTTGCTGGTTATGATGCTTAACCTATAAACTGTGGTTTAAGTTTGTAGCTCATTTTGTCTTCCATGTTACCTTTTGATTACAGTTACGCAGAGAAAGAATAGCAGAAAGAATCAGGGCATTGCAAGAACTTGTTCCTAGTGTCAATAAGGTACGTGGTTTCTCTTGCGTGTCCTCTTATTACTAAATTTGGTCTTGCTTTTGTCTTTAGCAAGGGGATTATTCTTTGGTGAAATAAAGGATTTTTGCATGAACCGATAAAATGATAAAGAGTATCAAGTTAAAATTTACATAATATGTGTATTTATTATTATCCCCTTTAAGACTTGATAGTAACAAACAGTTTATGATCAATTTCAATCTGTGTTTAACTAGATTCACCTCTTGCGAAAAAAATGATGTTACTCCAAAAGTATTGAAAAAAGAAAAGACAGTGCTAAAAGTGGACCCTTTCAAGCTTGCTTGTGACTCGTCTGTCTTCTTTCTTTGGGGATATTGTTCATCACTTACTTGTTTCGTACTTCACCATCTCCACTTACACTGTTGACTTTCATATATTCTGTCTTCCTTTTACAATACACCCCAAAAAAGATGTCATTACTTTTATAACTTTATTGTGAACATTTAACTTTTACAAAATATGTTGGTTTTTGATGTAAAAATTGCTTCAATTCATAGAATTTTAACACTTCTGTGTTTTCAAGAGCTATTCTTTTTGTTGTTTACACAAGGCCTAGTTAAAGTAGTAAGTTTGTTGAAGCTGAAGATTTCTGTACAGTGTGCCGAACTTGCCTGAATTCAATGTGTTAAGAGTAAACTTCTCGATCTCCCTTTCCTGCAATTTTGTGATCCTTTCATCTTAGAAATTTTAAAGTTGGCATTATTGTTGATTGGGAGGAATTTAATTGAGGATAACCTGCTTCTGGTGAAGGGGTTAAAAAAGTGGAATAACATATGCATACATCCTGATGTGGCGTGCTTGAAAATTGAAAAGAATACTTTAAGTATCAAATAACTGTGCTGGATTTCAAGGGGGTGCTATGATTTTGTATGATACGTGTGATAGCTCTGTTTTGCTGCTTGACCGTGTAGAAAAAAGATAAAAATGCTTCATTATTTGATTTTTTCTAATATTTTGGTGCATTTCTGCTATGTTCAGACAGATAGAGCTGCCATGTTAGATGAAATTGTTGATTATGTCAAGTTCCTAAGGCTTCAAGTGAAGGTAAAAGCTAGCGGGCTCCTTCGCGATCCTGCTTTTATTTTCCTAGTTAGGTCTCAATTTGTAATAAATGACAGTTTATATGACTAATCATAATTTGGGTATTGCGTGTTAAATCTGTTAACTTCACATTTTTGTCCCTATCGCACTGAGGTCAATTAGTTAGGATTCAACTTGTGATCATGAACCCACAAAACGGTGGCTGCCAATTGCCACTTTAGATGAGTACTTGTTGGCCGATTAAGACTGGGGAATATCTAAAAGCAGTCAAAGGGTAGCATTTTCAGGCTGCTTAATGCACTGTAGTTATTTTAAACCGTCGAATAATTTGTAACGGTTTTAGGTTGGAAATACAGATTACTGTCTGAACCATGATATCAATATAAAAGCAGAAGGCTTTTCTATCTAGCCAAATTTAGATTTGTATCAGTATTAAATTGAGACTGCAAACGACTTTCAATGACTTGATTAATCTACCTTTCAGGTCTTGAGCATGAGTAGATTGGGTGGAGCCGGTGCAGTGGCACCACTGGTAACTGACATACCATTATCATCAGTTGAGGTGATTATTGTGAAGAAATAGTTGTTGAAAGAATTTTATTTTAATATCTTAAAGTGATGTAACAAATTCGGTGATCATCAGGAGGAAGGTGGTGAAGGTGCAAGAAACCGACCTGCTTGGGACAAGTGGTCAAATGATGGCACAGAAAGGCAGGTAGCTAAGCTTATGGAAGAAAACGTTGGGGCTGCCATGCAGTTTCTTCAATCAAAGGCACTCTGCATCATGCCCATCTCACTAGCATCTGCGATTTACCAGTCACAACCACCCGACACTTCTAGTGTAGTCAAGCCTGAAACTAATCCTCCTTCATAGACCTGAGGCACATGTTGCACAATCTATTATTGGTCCCTTCACGGGCTCACCTAATACTGCTGGGACCCACGCCTAACGCGTTATTTGTCTGTTCCAAACCCCCATGAATAAGTCATTGGAAAGCATCAAGTTGCAATCAAAGTCAGATGCCATAATTCTTCCTTTACTGCCTTTCTTTCAGCTTTTGTCAATACAGGGTTCGATGTCAATGCCTTGGAAAATACAAGCAAACCCCTATCTTGTCTTACCTAATTTCAAGTAGAGAGGAAGAAATTGTCAAAAGTTCAATTGATATGCCCTTTTTTTTTTGTGTCAAATGGTGGGGGTAGTGGAACATGATGTAAGCGCTTTGTAGTGGGACTTAGTTTTTGTAGTGGGCTGTGGGACCTTCTGAAAGGTTAGAGTGGTGTGTATACTTTTAATAGTGAAACTGAAATGGACAATAGTTAGTTGCTTTAACAATGCTGGGGGTTGCCCAGTCCTGCAAAAAATGATGGTGCGTGCTTTTTGTTTGTTTAGGGCGTGCGTGAGTTGTTTACTCTAAAGTAATTGGACGACTTTTCTCTATTCTTCTGAATCATCATTATATTTTGATTCATCAGATGGAATTGGAAGGACAACTTTGGGTGCTCCTTTCACCCAATCCTTGTCAATCAATATTTTTTTTTATTTTACATAAAAAATTTAATGTTAATTTTAATAGATATTATAAAATTATAATGATTAGTATTTCATGTAAAATTATGAGAATCAAAATGTGTTAGGAATAATTTGTTTATTGCTGCAAATATTTCATTTTAGTAAACAATTAATTTTCTAAAAGAATTATATTATAATATCAAACTAATATATATATATATATATATATATATATATATATATATATATATATTTTGATATATAGATAGAAAGATAGATAGATATGAGGGGAGAGAGTGAGGAATAAAAAATTTAATTAAAATTTAGTAGAAAAATTATAAAAACAAGTAAGAAAAAGTTTTTATAGGAATTTTTCTTTTATTTATATAAAAATTATAATGGACGGATAGTCATTGAATGAAAAATAATAGAATAGGAATGTTCAATTTTAAATATCCTATCTCATATTTATTATAAAAAATATAAAAATAAAACAACTAGCAATAGTAATTGAAAAGAATAAAAAACGAGAAAGTATTAAAAAGAAATGACATTAAAAAATAATAAGGAGAAGAAATATTAAATAAAAAATCACCTGTCCGAGGTAACTATTTATAAGTCTGATTACTTTTAATGATTATATATATATATATATATATATATATATATATATATATATATATATATATATATATCCTGTATTTAGTTTTTTATTTTATTTTGAAGGGAAAACTTAATTGAGAAAAGTTTAATTAAAGCAGAAAAATCTCAATCCATAAATCTCATCGGGGGAATGATATTTATAAGCATGGTAAAAAGTGAAACAAATTTATAAAAATTCAAACATAATTCGATGAGATTTGTATGATTTTAAATATAAGATTATTTTTTTAGTATTTTAAAATCTCAATCGAATATTATTAGAATTTATTGACCTCTACAAAATAATCATGATTAAATATATTTTTTATATAAATGGTAAAAAATCTTAATTAAATACCATAAATTTTTTATAAATTTTTAAAATCTTTTAAAATTCCAATTGAATAGGTTTATTTTATAAAATTTAACTCTATACCAAACATTTCACTTTCTTTGGAGGAGGGAATCTCTAAAATACCTAATTTCCTTTCGTGTTTCATGTCATGATTTAGCCAATTGGTGACAAAATATGTCCCGTTTTCGTCTCTCTCTACTCTGGATCGACAAAAATTAAGTGGAACCAATTGGTCCCGAAGGAAGACTTATACACTCTAGTTTATCTCTAATTCCAATTGGGTTGTCTCATTTTTTTTATATAAAAATCTTTTAAAAGTCCAGTTGATGATTAATTTTGTAGAAGTTGAGTTGAATCTTAAAGTAGGAGTCTTAACAAACATTAATTATTAAACCCATAGTTATTGAAGAGATAAAAATTAGGTGTCCCTCCTATTTAGCATTTTATTTACTGTGAAATATGAAAATTATAGAGAAACAATTATTGGTGTAATTGTAAAGATGATTTTAAGTTTTAAAAACAAATAAATATCAAGTTAAAAAGTTTAGTATTAGAGCATGATAAACGAATTTCAGTTGAACAATAATATCTTTTATTAGTTTTTTTTTTCAGAGAATAATAAGATTAACAAAATTGAGTCTAAACATTAAGACATTTTATTTAATTATATATAATTTTTACAGGATTTTAATTTAAAATTAATTATCATTAGATCTAACATCTTTTCGAGTAAGACAAGATAATTGAAACATACCATGAATAACTCTTTCCAACATCTTCTTGGATTAAGAAGATATCTATTACAACATACAAAACCAAACTATATCATATTTCATCTTAGAACCGATAAAATTATTAATATTGAGTTTGATTAATTAAATGAAGCTAGTTCAAACTTTACAAAATCGATATTAACAACTCGTGTCATATAAATTGATAAAAAATATTTTACTAACCTTTATTGTTTATATATTTATTATCCAAAAATCTGTAGATTTTGTTCAGAATAAAGTTTGTTTTACACCTTTTTTTTACTAGTCATTACTTGCGAAAAAATATTTTCTTAATCGAAATGTAATAACTTATAATATTTCAATTCCACATGCCATTGATTACATATTTATTGTTTGTATTAAAACGTTAATTACATATCAAATTGATAATTTTGTAAAATATATATGTTTAAACTTTCGTTTATTAAAATAAAATTTATTCAGTAATAAATTACTTAAATGAACTAAACTCAACATTTATTTTTTGACATAATTGAATTCAAGCTTTAGATTAGGGATATTTAAATGAATAAATTAAGTTTGAGAAGTAGGTGACAGTTATCCAACAAATATTTATAAGATAATTTTTAGTATTTAGGTTTTAATTTTATGCAAACCATTAAATTGAAAAAAGAGAAAAAATTAGGAAGAATATAGAGAAAATAAAAATAATGTATATATTAAGAGGAATATTAATTAGGAATACATTCCCTAATACACTATATATCGCTTATTGATTGAAGAATGTTATAAAATGAAGAGAAATGTTCATTAAATATTAGCCTATATAAATTTTGATTTCAAGCCAGAAAATTCTTTGTAAAATTTTCGTATTTTGCGTGAGAATGTATTTTCTATACATTATGTAAATATATATTATGGTATATCATGTCGACATTTTGGGTACTTCTACTAAGGCTCCAGGCCCAACATACAATGTGGATTTCTTGTTCCTAAGATTTGACCTAAACCCAAATGATACGTGTGAGGAACAATGTGTTTTGAAAGAAAAGTTTACAATTTAAAAATAAAATGTATCAAATTAAATTTTTTTGTCTATAGTTCACAAGTCCTATGTATATTAAGTGTGGACGTCAAATATAGTTTGTATATATTTTTCTTAACTCACTGGTAAGAATAAAACGGTGATTAACAAAAATTTATTAATAATATTTTTTATTAATTGGACACAGTTTTTTATTAATTAAAATTTATTAAGATTATTTATAACTAAGATCAACCATAAAAAAACTAGTCTATTTTTGACGATAACTTCGAAATTATTCCAAATCTGAAACAACCAATCAGTTCCCATGATCTGCGGGGAGCTTTTTTCCTACTTTGTCCCATAAAAGAGAAGTTTAAGATAGAGTGGGTGTTGAAAAGAAAACTAAAAAACTAAAAAAAAAAAGAGAGTATGATATGAGGATATCACTTCTCGAATTAATGAATTATGGATTTTTTTTGTTAAGTTTATTTGTTTTTAAAAAATTCATAGATGTGAGGTGAGGATGAAAATATGTGAAAATATCATTGTTGAATAAGTAAAATTTGACACATTCTTTTTTTAATCTTAAAAGTTATTTGAAAGTTAAAAATGAAAGTTTATTTTTCAGAAATTCCTATCAAGACGGGAATAAAAGTACTTAAAGATAGGATTCTTAAAATTAAGTTTTTCTTTTCTTTCTTTTTCGATGATTTTAGTTGATGATGTTTGACAATTTATTCTTTTAATATTTTTATTCGTAAAAGCTGAGCACAACTATTAATAGTTCATAACAACATCTATGTTAAGTCACTTCTGACACATTATTGATCTCAAGGAAAAAAATGAATTGAGAATTCAAATTTTACAAGTTACCGTAGATTGCAAAAATCTGAATCGAAAGGGATATTTGTATGTAATTATATAGTTATTGATTCTTTTTATGTGAATTGAAAATTTGTTATATATCGTTTAAAGATTAATTAAGATTATAGATCAGCTGTGGAACAAATCTGAATATATATGCATCTTGCCTTTCAGTTCATAATTCATCAAAATATGCATGAAACCAGCAAGTTTCTGAAAATTTCATTCAATGAAAATCCTAGATGGTACCAGAAGTTTAGTTGATCTTGAATTTTGCCTGTATTTAGCTTAGTGTGGTTAAGGAAGATTATAAAAAAGTATGCCGTTAACTAATTAACATATATTGGCACAAACAATTATCATCGTTTGACTCCATACATGTTAGTGCTCATCCACTAACAATGGTGCTGGAATTCTCAATATTCTTATGGAATATTTGACTCCTGTTTAAAGAGTACCTTTTTCCTTTTTTTTAGTGCCATCCCTTAATTGTTCCCAAATCGACTAGTAAACATCAAATTTTGGAAACATGAACAAATCAATTTTTCCTTAATTTACGACCTCAAATCAAACGGAAAGATTCATCTCTATCAAAATGAGATTACTATTTTATATTCTCCATCTGTACAATTGAAACAGAATTAGCTTTTCTTATATTTTCTTTCTCTTTCTATCTTTTCCATTTCCCGTTGGATTTTTTAGAAGACTACATATATAAGGAAGCAGACCTCAAAGCCACCTCTGTTGAAATCAATAAAAGAAAAATAATGTATACATATATAATATCAGTCTATTTTTCTGATGAACTATGTATGAGTTTTCTTCCCTTAAACACCATGCACTTGCTTGCACAACAAGGGTGTATTCTCTTTGAAGACGTAATCACTATCCTTTTTTGCTTTTGTAAATTTTGTCGGTCATAAGCAACCCAACCCCTTTGCTTCTGATCCTTTGATTATTCTCAGCCTCTTGCAGGAGGATACAAACATGCTGCAATTAATATAACCAAAAGCGCTCTATGAGATGGAGAATCTACAACAAAAAACATGCAGAGAGCTATAATAGAAACTATTATATATGTTGGAACAAAAGACTTACTTCCATGGAACATCTCCAACCAGCATCCAGTCACCATCCTTGTCTTCATAAGTAGGAGCGTATTCAGATCCGTTGTATCCTTCCCTTTCCGAATATTCACCTGGATCAAAATTAACCACGGACCTTTATTCATTTGTTCGATCTTCCATATATCTCATCAAGTTCTATTTTTCTTTTTGCTACATAAATTGGGAAACTAAAAAAAGTTGTTATCTGTTGCTTGCTCTTACCAAATGTGCACTTGAACAAATTTTGCAAGGCCATGAGGAGTTCTGGGTAGCTCTTGTAAACCTTGAGATCTATCTTCCTCAAGTAAGGTGCACCGGCCATGCTGACTTTCACGTACATTCCATTTCCATCAACCTGCTCCACCTTCTTCTGTTGTAGACTGTTCTTCCTAAAAGATCTAATTGGTGGCCACCCCACTACTTGTACCCTGTCATCCATTCATTTTATTCATCATTAGATTTCGTTCGTTATATTTATATATATATATATATATATATATGGATAAAAAAATATAAATATATAAGTGGCTTACTTTGCAGGTTGGACAGTGTCTTGGTCATGATCACTTGTGGTTGTGATATCAGAAACATCAGAGTTAACGTTGGTTTTGCACCTGGACTCTTCCACACTGGATTCTGGTGAAGATCTCTTGTTGCTGCTTCTAACAACAGAGCCACTGCATGAACGTTTCTCCTGAGGTTCATCACTACCGGGCAAACCCAACCTCAACTCAGTGGCCTTAAGCTCAGTTTCATAGCTCCCCATTGAATTCGATCTCAATTATTTGCTGAGTCCAAATCAAGCCGCTGCTAAATTCTGATTTCTGAGAAGGAGAGCTATATATCTATATAAATACGGGTATGAAGAGATTGATTGAAGAATGGATAGCGATGTGACGAATGAGATAGTAAGTGGTGGATCGTCAATTTTATAGGAACGTCTTAGTGAGGGACGATAAATGTAGCTCACATATTCTCATGGTGCATGAATTGCGCGTAGCGAGGGTAACCAAACCGACCATGCCCCGTCTGTGACACACTATTCTCACCCACCAATCACACGTTAACAAGGCATCATTGGGGGAAGTTGGACCCACTCCACACGGTGGAAGCGCGACGACAGATGTGACTGTCTGTCACATGAAGGACAGAAAAAAGCAGGTTGTCGAAAAGGGAGGGGACAGCGGAGCAACAAACACAGCCAATGACAGTGACAAACGTGGACCAGCAACGGACGGTTCAGATGGTGTGGGCTTTTGGGAGTGGATCCGGGAGCGTTAGATCTGTATGGAAACAAATCCATGTGACATCGCGTGGGACCCACTTGGGTGTCCTTGATTGGATGGGCATGACCATGTGGATGTTGGCCAGTAAGTACGTGACATGTGGGATTTGCATGTGCTATGCTCAACTCCTCTTTCCTTCTTCCTCCCAATCTAACCTATCTCTACATTCTCCAACTACCATTTCTTTTTTAACATTAACTATAAAATATGCTTAATCTCTATACAATATATTCATTGAAATTCCTATGGTTTAGGTCAATTCTCAACAATACATCTTCATCATATAAATGCTGCTAACTAATCCTAATCAAAATCAAATATGCAACGTATCCAACACGTACTCATCGTAGCTAAAACGTAGTTCTATTTGAAAATAAAGGAAGAACATATTTTTTTTTATAAAAACAGTATGATTCAGTATTGTCCGTCTATATTAGATGTGTGCTTGAAATTTATTACATAAAACTTTATTCCCGTGTCCAAAAGCAAATATATATATTATGTCATTTATCCTATTTTGACATAAATTTTGCTTAAGACGCATCTCTAAGATGAGATACCAAACACACTAAGTGAATGAGATAAATTATAAAGTCCAGAAAATATGATAAGGACGTTAAATGTATCGGATTGAGAAAGATTTACAGATGTATTATCATAAAGATTTTTTAAATTTCTCTTTTGATAATAACACAACATTTATTAGGGTTGAATCAGAGTGCTTCATTAGAAGAAATAGAAATGCATGAAAAATGTTTCTAGTTCAATGATAGATCACAAACAGTGAGGATATTCGGGTTCATCATCAATTCCCCTTTCTTCACATTAATTTGTGCACCTTCGAATACACCAAAAAGCACGCACAACACACACAAGCCAGTTATTGTTTGGACCACGTACGCAACAAAATAAAGCATAATCGAACTTCTCCAAAACCTACTCACACGCATGCATGATAGATGTTAGGCTTAGCAAAAAGGTGCAAGCATTAGCCAACGGGGATGGCAAAAGTCTCACGTTACATGCAGAACCATTTTTTATAATAAAACCAAGCGGCACCCTTTTCATGACCTAACTCACGCACTTAGCTACATGTCTACTTCTCCAGTCAAGCTAAGTAGGTTAATTGGTTTCATTGTTTGTCACCTATCACCACCAATGTCTGATATATGTGTTAGATTTAACACTTGCAAAACTAACATGGCTTGGAAAATGGTATCGGTTCCTCACATGTTTCCTTTTGATGAGTTAATTTAATTCTAAACCAAATTTAGAAAAATGAGTTTCGTTTTGTTCACTACCCTAGCTACTGGGGTGGAAAAGAAAAATATCTAGGCACGTACTAGGGAAAAGAGAAGGAGGGACGGTGATTAAAGTAACGTAATGTGTAATTTGGAAGCATTGTAGTGGCATCTAGCGTGGCGATGTGGCGTTTTATGCAGACACGCACGAGCGATGTATTTAAGTTTGATGGTGATATAATGTGGACCTTCAGCCACACGTGGGTGATAAGATTGGAGTTTTTTTTTTTCTTCTTATGTTGGAGGAGGTAGTGAATGAAGGCCCAAATTAAATAAAAATTTTGAAATAAAAAAAAAAAGAAAAAAATTGTTGGCTAAAGAGAGAGTCCCCACTGGCACACCCTTGTTGGTTCGTTGTTCCCCAGGATGCGAAAGCATTGAATGCGATGGATTGTTAGGGCCACACATAGGGCATGAAATGCTATCAATGCAGCTTCTTTTGGATATCTCATCAACAGCTAGCAGAGACAATTAAGCAAGGATGTCATACAACTCTACCCTTTCATTGGACCTCTACTATTAAACTTAACGTGCTGTTTCCACTCTCTAATTTTGAACCATTCACAAATCATAATTAATTAGTAAATGTTTCACCAATTATATGGATAACTTTTCATGCAGTACACCTTTTCATAGATGCTTCGTTAACTTTGTCTTTAATTTTTCGCATTTTCATTACAGCTTTTGTTTCAAATTTCGTTACTAGTTGTTATTTATAGCTTTAACTCCATTATTTGATTCCTATTTTATTTGGATATTATTTATGTGTTATTAGTATTTACGATTGATTACATTAGGGTTTCGTTAATATTGTTTAGGATGAAGTTATATATATTTGTTTTGTTTTTATTTCCATGGTTTATTAGTGTTATACTTGTACACGTACAAATAATACTATAAAAAATTAACATATAAATAAATTAATTTATAAAAAAAATATTAATGTATTTAATAATTGATTTTTACTTAATTCCTAAGCTAAATTTTACTTATTAAAGAGTTGTTTTTATTCAAACGTACAGTAACAATTCTTCGAGAGTCTTCTCATAGAAATCCGATTCAAAAAGTATGAAGACTCATTGTGGTAAGTTTTCCTTCTTCTAGCTTATGATCGCAAAATTCTTATAGATTAGAGTGCTGAAAATTCTGGCATCCTCTACTTTGGGAGGACAATTTGCTTGAAAATATAACCTGTGAAAAGATCATTCAAAAGTGTATGTTTTTGGCTAACCAACATTGTAGGAGAACTTGAACTCAACCTTACTCGACACTTGTTCAAATTACAATATCTTTTGCTATAACTGAACTTGTCTTCTTAACTATCAAATTTTTAATATAACAACTAGCATACTCATTCAGGGGTATTTTAATAAAAAAAAATATTGATTACATTTTTTCTATCCATAAAAATCAAACCCAAAATCTGACTTAAATTTTGTCAGTCAAATTCTACTAAAAAGTAAGATAAACTTAAAATAATTTTTTATTTGAATATTATTATAAATGAATAGGTGTGTGATTTAGTTATATGAAATCGGCTTTTTCAATATTGGTTTCTTTGAGCTGACTTTTTTATGCGTCTTAGCTTTCTTTTTACTTTATACTTAGAAGATGATCAGTGAGCTTACTATTCTACATAATCTTCACCGCCAAAGCATTGATATTGTTAAAGTAAATGATAGTGAGATATATTTTTTTCATTAGTAAATATTACTGTTTGAGTAAGATGATTAACATTGTATTGTCTTTTCAACCAAAATTTAACATCATGGACCCTGTTTAAGTAAGATGATTAATATTATAATATCTTTTCAACCATAATTTAATATTATAGGCGCACGTGTCATACTTATTTTCATCTAACTTGTAAATGGATAGAGACAAGTACACATAACTTAGGGTTGAACTTAAAGAAAAATAATAATAATAAGAGAAAACAAGAATTCAATAAAAGGGTAATGATTATATAATAACAATGGATAATGACATTAATTAACAACAAAGCAACACTACAACAAAAGAAGAAAATAAAAATTAAAATAAAACAAAATTGTTGAAAAAGATTTTGACATTAATGGTCATCGATCCCTAAGAAACCACAAATTTAATGTTTAAATTCTAAATACCATATTAAAGTAAATAATAGAGAAAGAGATATATTTTTTTCTTCAAATTTAGTTAAGATCATAGAGAGATTAAGATTAAGAGGCCAACCATACATACATACATACATACATATATATATATATATATATATATATATATATATATATATATATATTATTAATAAAAATTATTTTATAAATAAAATTAATTTTTTTAACTTTTTATTTATAATAAATATCATATTTATTTTCTTACATAATTTTCAAATTTCTTTTTTTTCTTTCTTTCTTCTATATTTATATTTGTATCTTTTTTTTATCTTATCTATTTATTTTTTTACTTCAACTTTTTTAATCTCTTCTCTTTACACTCATTCATTTTCATTTTCATGCTCTTTTCTTGCATGGTTTCACCTAATAATATAAAATTTTGTAAGTCTTTTTCTTTAATTTTCAATTTTTTTCTTTTTTATAGTTTCATCTTAATAGTGTAAAAATTGCAAATTTTTTGTTCATTTTTTTTCAGACGTAATACAAAAAGGTTAAAGAATAAAGAAAATATCCCAAAATAATTATCTTGAAATAACAAATTAGTAAATAAATTTATCTTCTTTATTTTTTTTATTTATTATTATAACAACTACATAGTATACAAATATAAAATATTGATATAAATTTTTTATTTGTTATTAATTAGTTAATTATTTTGATATTTTGTAACATTTTATTTTGATATTAAAATATGAAAAAAAATTAATTTTAAAGATGTCTAAAAAAAATTATAAACTCATTTTTTTTAAATAATAAAGAGTGGATTACAAAATAAACTATAATCTTCAAAATTTAAATTCAATTAATAATATTGTATACAATATATTAATTTTTATGTGATAATTAATTTTTATACATTAATGTTCCTCGTCTAAAATTTATGATTTCATCATTAACTAAGATTATATATATATATATATATATATATATATATATATATATATATATATTAAGAATATGTTTTAGATTTTATTAGGATTTATTTATGTTTGTTTGAGAGTTAATATTATTTATACATTTAACTAAAGTTTGATTTAATTTGATATGTATTATTTGTTATTTAAGTTTATTTGGTGTGTGTTTTTTCGTAGTTTCATAACGTTAAACATTAAAAATGTGTACATAACGAATTAAATAGAAACGAATAAAGAAGAGCATATTATGCTGTTACTGAATACAGATTTCTTCAAAACCCTCCGGCTAGAATCCTCGCTTTTTATATTATTTAAGAAATCCAGTAAAAACGGTATTTTGTAATTTCTTCTTCTTAATTAGTCGTAACATCAAGACCACAAAACATCATTAATTGGTGGGAAGTGTCCAACTAATGATTTCTTAAGAAGCATAATCATAGAGTCATAGAGTTTCACTCATAACATCTTAAGATATTTTTTATAAAGAGTTTTAACAAATATGTACTGTTAGTCTAAAAATCTCTACGGTACCCATAGAAATTATCTTTAATGTGTTATTCAAGATACACTATTATTATGATAGTTTAATATTAGATAACTTAGTTTTTAAAATTACAATTTTAAAACTCATACTTTATTTTTCTTTTGTAAAACATTTGTTTTGAATATTATACCAAGGTTCATGGTTGCAAGACTTGATTAGTTCGCAATATATTTAAAATTTTCATATCAATAAAAAGTTTTATCTTTACTTGTGTGGTATGCTATTTGATATTTAAATCATTAGGATTGCAACCATTACAATTTAAATTAAATTTTAAAATATTTAAGATAAATATATAAATTTTAGCCCTATCCTTTCTATATATAAAAATAAGCATTTGAATGATAACTTTCTGTGAGCAATTATTTAATGAAAGTATATTTAGGCTTATTATGAAATTTAATTATACTGTAATTTATATATTTGAATTGTTTTTTATTATGAATTATAGATACACAAATGAACATTTATATTGTGTTTTCACTCGTTAAAAACTAAAATATTAATAATTCAGATATTTGCACCAGTTAAAAACTAAAATATTAATAAAATTATAAGAAAACCCTTTTAAGAAAAAAAATCAAATGGATAGCAAGTAGTTGAATTAAAAAAAAATAACACTTAAAAAATATTAGAAGTTTTTATGTTAATTAACACTAAAATTATGCATTTTAAAAGAATGATAAGAGATATTTTTATTTTAAGGAGTGGAGATTTTATTTTAATATTTTATTATATAAGAGCGAAAAGTTAATAAAACTCAAGTACAATATAAATCAAAAAGAAAAAATAACAACATTACGATGTAGTTAAAAAAATTACAATTTCACTAATTAAATCGAAAATTAATCTAAATAATTTGAAATGGATCACGAATTTTTTTTAATTTATTATATTTTAAAATAATACAATTTAAATTTCAAATTATAAATAAAAAAAATAATTAACTTATTATATTTAAACATTAATAATATACATTTAAAGTTAACGAGTAAATAAATATTATAAAATAGTTATTGCAAAACATAAAACATGTTCTACTAATTAGTGATCCACCAATCTATAATGTGTTTCACTAACCTAGAATGTGTTCCACTAAACGAGAAGTGCTCCATTATTCTACCTTTTTAGTCCATAACCATCCATGATGTTGAATGCAGAAATGAGTTTGTTATTCATACTACACCTATAAATAGATTACTCCACAAAGATACATCACTCATCTTCTATTTCTATTTTTCTTCCTATTCTATTCCTATCATGGTTAATTTACTCTTTTAATAATTTTTTGCTAGTTTATGAGTTTTTCAGAAAATCTAAAAATTTTTTTGTTGTACATTGATTATTGCACAGAACACCACAGATAAGTCCTTAAGGTAGTTTTTACAACAATAAATGTTACGTGTCTCAAATTAGTTTATAATTGGATGATAGTATTTTATTTACAATGTAGTTATACTTATTAAAATATAATAATAATTTTTTATTATATTTTTTAATCATAAATTTTTATAAATATACAAAATTATAACTATAAATAATTATTTAATTAATCATTTATTAAAAAATTGACAATACTTACTTTGAAATAAAATAATAAATATCCATGGATAATTCACTACAAGAAAATAACATTTTAGTGACCGAAAAAATCGATCGCTAATGCCCAATAATCGGTCGCTAATCGAGTTAGCGACCGAAATGCGTAGTCGCAAAAAGCCTAGTCGCTAATGTGTTAGCGATCGATTTTCATTTCGGTCGCAAAATAGCGACCGATTAAATCTGATCGCTAAATCAATAACAAATTTAATTATTTTTATTTATTTACATTTTTATTATATTTATTATTTATTTTCCCTAC